AGCCAAGCCCCTGAGATGCTTCTGTTTTTATTTTTATTTTTTAGCTTTAGCACAGGCGGGTGTTTGAGCAGAGGACTCGTTTCAGCTGTCAGTTCTCTCAAAGAAAAAAGCAGCTCTTTGCCTCCCTGCTGTCCCGGCTGCAGCAGGAGGTGTCCATCAGCAGCAGGGAAGGAACCCGGTGGTTCAATAACCCCAGAACCTTCTGTGGTGCTCTTGGGTTTTCACAGTCAATGTAATAGTGGTGTTCAAAATAATTGCTATAGAGCGAAAATGTGCCTTATCACAGGGAGCAGCATGTGGACAATGGGAGCGTTTCAGAGCGTATTTTTAGGACGGGGGAAAAAAAATCAATCTAAATCTTGTGCTTTTTTATCATATGCCTTGAGCAGTGAAAGGAGGGGAAAAGGGATCAGCATTTTTGCTGGTTGGATGAGGCTGTGAGCAGCCTGGTCTGCTGGGAGGTGTCCCTGGGGACGGCGGGGTCGGGGCAGCAGATGCAGCCATCGGGTGCCTCAATGCACCACGTGGGTTTTCCCTCTCCTTGGTGCCCGTCTGGGAAAGTCAAACGTTTATGTGTAACCTAAAAGAAAAGCTGTTCTGCTGGTGTGAGCTATTGGGTAATAAAACAGGGAAAGGCACTGCAGTCAATAAAAGTAAATTAATAACTAGAGACAACAAACCTTGCTTCCCTGACTGGCATAAAGCAATCCTGTGCTGAAAGAAGGAAGAATGTCACAGTTTATGAGGAGGCAGGTTGAGTCCAAGAGGAATGAGCCACGGAATTTTGTGGGATATTTGTGATCACAATGTTTTCTTCCTAAAGCTTTTGTGGTTTATTTGTGCTGTGCTGCAGGCAGAGCTGTAGAGCAGCTCCTGCTGAGACAGGACACGCCAGGACGAGGGAAATGGGTTTGGAAGGCTGTCAATCCAAGCTTTGGGAGGCAGCCCCTAGGACTGTGCAGCCCAGGGAGCTCCTGCTTCTCCCCATTCTGAGCCCTGGTGTCTCACAACACCTGAGAAACTGCCCCAGGAACTGGTCTGGGGCTGCTCGGGAGATGCTGACGGTGCCCGTAGTGCCCTCGTGGTGCCCTCGTGGTGCCTGCCCAGCTCTGGGGTCCGTGCCTGGACCTGCCCTTGGCTCCAGTCGAATCCCTGGCACAACTCAAGCAGCCCTGTGGTGCTGAGGGGAGCCAAAACCCCTTGGTGTGGTGGGTGCCACCCACCCACAGCCGGCTCAGGGCTGCCCATACCTGCCCTGGCAGTTGTGCTGCTCATGCAGCACAAATTAGGAGGCTTAATTATTTCAATAGAGGTTAATTACATTAGTCACTACAGCAAATCTCCAGTTCATGCCATGCTTTCCACTTCATTTAATTCATTACCCCCTGTGACAGTAGATTCCTGCGCAGAGCTGCTCATTTGTATCCCCTGTCCCTTCCAAGAGCAATCCTCCACCTCGGCCCTTTGCTTGCTTTTGCTCCTGTTCCTTCCAGTGTTCCTGGTGGCAGTGACAGAGGGGTTTTGTGGGAGCAGCCTCAGCCATGCTGAGGTGGTGGGTAGAGCAGTGCTGTGCCCAGCTGGGCAGTGGGCCCTTGCCAGGGGGACAGGCTGTGCACCCCACATTCTGTGTCCTGTGCTGTAGCTGAGCAGAGGGTGACTCTGGACGGTGTTTGTTGTCCCCTTCCCTACCTGCATTCTTGCTCAATACCTGGATTTACAGATATGTGTCCTCTCCTGCCTGCCAAGTGTGGTGCTGGGCCCTGCTGGTCTTTGCCCATGAGCCCCCTCCGTCCTGCCTCCCCTGTGTACAGGACAGTCCATATGGGAAAAAATCAGCCAGTTGTGCACCCAACCCCTTGCAATGATTCCGAAAGAGCCATTCCTCGTGGTTTAATGTGTTTCTGTAAATGGCAGAGTAAAGCTCTTGGATGGCATTTAATTAGTTTTACCGTGCCTTCCCTGCTCGGCAGAGATGCATCGTAATAGCTGAGGGATTCATGCAAAGGAGTGCTTCAATAATCAGAAATTCAAATGCCAAACAAGACAGAACAAGAAAGATGTGAAAATAAGCACAGAATATTTTTTAATTGCCCAGGTGAGTCTCAGTGCTGCAGGCACACGGTGCTGCTCTTGGAAGTAAACTGGGGAAGCCCCAGCTCTGAGCTGGCTGATGCTGGATCCCAGTTAATCCTCTGGAGACGTGGTGGTGTTGGGAAGGGCGTTGGCTCAGGGTGACTGTGCAAAGCTGATCCCAAAGGAAGGTTAACTTGATGCACACTGTCATTTGTTGAGCATTTGCCATACCCTGGGCTGAGCCCAGAGCCTGGTGTGTGACCACGGTCACGGTGCCCAGAGCAAACCTGTGTGGGCTGTACAGAAAGGACCTTCGCCTTTCCAGGGCTTTCCAGGGCTGCCAAAGCCTGGGGAACAGGAGCTCTGTGCTACCACCTGGCTCCATCTCCCCTTGTCCTATTTTGGTTTTAAACTTAGTTTGTTCCTTTATCGCTGCCCCTGGGTGGGTGCTCGTTGTCCCCAGGTCTCCTGCTCCTCCAGCCCCCAGCACACACCACGGGGGGAGATTTCTGCAGTCACGCAGCCCCGGTGCCCAAACTGCAGCTGCTGACATGTGCAAGGGGGAGGTGAGACATTTCCCACCTGTTCAGCTATTTTGTAGCTTGGTGGGATATTTCCTATTTTTAACTGTAGCTGCATTAAAAGGAATAAACTTGTGAAGGCAAACATAAGGTAACAACCAAAGGAGGTAGTTTTTTAGATGCAGATCTGTCTGATTTAGTACATGGTGAACATTTTCTTTAGCATAATGATACTTCTTAGGGTGCATGATAAAAACCTGCAGTAATGAACAGACACAATTCTCAGTTTTCACTCTCATCATTGGCTATCATTAGCATTTTGCTATTGTTAACCTATGCAGGATAAACTGCTTATAAAATAGGTATTTCTTTGTTGGGCACTAGCAGGTATGGTTGTGGGGAGGGATGTGGAATTCAGTCTGCAGTTCTGCATCATGAACACGGACTGTGTGTGGCTCTGAGGCTGGAAGTCAGGCCAGTGTAAACCCGGGAAATATTTCCAGATTTTAATCTGGATTGGGATTTAAGGATTTAAGGATATTTGAATACCCAGCCAGGCGTTCCCTTTGGCTGGGGAACCATCAGCCTTGTCTGGGGGCAGAGGGACCTTCCACGGGGGTGGGAGCGGCTCTGGCTGCTGCAGGGAAGGCTCTGCCCTCTCTCCTCTCCTTCCTGACATTTTAGCACTTCTCCTCTGGCTTTTGGAGATGCTGCCTGTGCACTTCTGTCCCCTTGGCCTCTGGCATCCTGCAGAGCCTGGCTGGGATGCTGGGATGTGCCAGCCTTGGCTGGGAGCGCTGCAGGGGCACACGGGGCGGCTTCAGCTGCCAGAAAATTAGGCTCATTTATTTGGGAATCCGTGGTACACAAAGCACTTTAATAACCACATTCATCTAAAGGCCACATCAGGAGAAACAGTACTGCCTGTTCCCTCTCGGATGCCAGTTAGTGGGGAATGCTGTTGTTAACATTTAGCAGGAGCTCCAGGTCACCTTGATACGATTGAGCTAACACACATTTTAATGGCTGTTTAATTAGATTTACCATAGGGAAGATGCCATGGAAGAAAGCTGCATTTCTGCTTCCAGCACTTGAGTTGGTGGCTGGATTCAATAAAAATGCAGATAAAAAAATGCAAGTGATAGACAAAGATGAGGTTTTTGTTTTTTTTTTTTACCCCTGTTCAACATAATTTTCCAACCTGGTCTGGGTGGTGTGGTTGCTCTTGCAGGGCTGGAAGCTCTCACACCCGGGCAGGACGATGCTCTTTTCTGCCTGCCACAAAGTGCAGGTGCTCCTCAACAGCTGATTTGCTTTTAGGTGACCTGAGCTTTGAGCTCCTCGCTGTGAGGCTGCCACCAAATCATTCCTCAGAAGCTGCCCCCGTGCCATCAGCAGGACTGAAGCAGAAGGGAAGGAATCCAACTGGTTTCCAGCAGCAGTATCCGAATGTTGTGGCAAACTGGTCCCTGCATTAGAGAGCAAAGAGCTCCTGTCCATGTCCCATCAATTCTGATTCCTGCATGAGGCTGGGGGGGCTCTGAGGAGTGTTTTGTGAAGCAGCCAGTTGCTCCCTCACAGGAAATAAAACATTGAAACATATTGCTATAAAGGATATGACACCTCTCCTGATGGATTTATTAAGAAGACCCCAAGAGTGAAGAGTTATAAAACCTGATCCAGTCGGCAGTTCCAGCTGTGTAATTGATATCCATTATTTCCCATTGACTGCTCTGCAGGACTTCACTTTCTGTAGCATCAACAGATTCTGCCTCTGAGCTGCTGGGGCTTGGCAGAGAGCAAAGTCGATAGCAAACCCAGAGAGAATCCCAGGAGACAGCTGAGTTGGTTTTCCTCAATTTCTTCCCATAAATACACACCTTTATCCTAATTTATGCTGTTTCTCAACTCACTCCATTTTCACAGGGCAGCACAAATCTGCTGTGGCTTTGCTGAAGCAGAGGCTGGGTGTCAGTCTGGTTTCCCCAATGACACAATTTCTCCTTATCTGCTTCATTTTATGGCAATTTTATATGTTTTACTGAAATAGGGTTATTATAGTAATGAATTTACTGAAAAAAAACCAGGCACAAAAAGGCTGTGCCCACAGATGCAGGGTGCTGGCTGTCCTGGGGACTGACCTCTGCTCCTGGGTGCTGCAGAATCCCTGAGGAGGCTGAACACAAGGAAGGGGCTCACACCAACCTCCTGCCCCCGTCCCTGCACAGGACAGCATTAGGCAAACCCATCATTTCTCCCTCTTGTTACTCAGAGCTTTTCTATGCCATTGACCTCCTGCCCCTTTCTCCTGCAAATCATTTGCTTTTCCAGATGCTTCAGTATTAACTTGTACCATTTTCTTTTTTTTCTTTTTTTTTTTTTTCTCCTCTCCTTATCTCACCTCAGGAAGAAGAGGGATTACCTCATTTCCACCTCCTCTGAAATAAATCCTCATTATGGATTTGCACCTGGGGAGGAAGAAGCTGATTTCCACTCCCAGCCGGTTCTGAGCAGATATTTGAAGGTAATTGTGCAGCCCAGTCATCTCACTTGTCCAATAACCATAAAGAGCACTTTTATTAGCACCGGGCTTGGGGCTGGGACTATTGAGAAGATATTTATGGGGAAGATATTATTTCAGAAAACTAGAACGTGGACATCAAATATATGTTTTATGCTGAGGTGGAGCAAAGGGAAGGACCTAACATCCAACAAATGTCTGAGTGCTGGTGGGGGGGTCATCCCTGGGCTGGGGTGGCTGCACTGTGGTGCCTCCTCGCAGTACTCACTGGATTGCCTCAGATTTGCCAAAAACCATCATGTGAGGTGGCTGAACCCAGCAGGGCTGAGCAGGTTTTCCCTCATGCTCCAGTTGTGAAAACTCTGATGTGGGCTAGCAGACATTAATGGTGTTTTTATTGAGGATCTTGTGCTCTAAGTTCTGCCTCCCTAAACACGAGGCTGAAATGCTGGTGTGATGAGGCCCTTTTTTCTTGGCTAATTGCTGCAAGATGAAATATGGGCCAGAATAAAATGTGGTCATCTGCTGCACGGCTGCTGTGCCCGGCTGTCAGGCCGTTTGCTGCAGCCCAGGATATACTGACTGTGGCAGCTTTGGGATGCTCCAGCTCAGGGAAGAACAGTGCAGTGATTTCTCTGGGCTTCGACAGGCCCAGTTCTGAGCTTCTCCCACAGAGCCAGCAGTGATGGACTAGACAAAAATAAACAAACAGCCCAAACTTTCCAGAGGAGCAATGGCTTGGCCCAGTGCTGCAGGTTTACACTGAGATGCACCCAGACGAGCAGAGGTGTGAGACAGACGTCCCCAGTTCTGCAGCTCTGGGGCACTGGGACTCTGGTGCCTCTGTGTCTGTGCCCTGTGCTGCTCTGCTGCAGCTTTGGAGGTGGCAGGGACCCCTCGGGCACCAGCTCAGCATCCAGCTGCTGGTGAAATTTTGATGAAAAGTCCTTAATTATTGATGAAGAATAACATCTCCATTGCACAGCTCATCTCGTGGGGAGCACAGTCATTTAGTGCTTGATGCTTCAGGGCTGTGGTGGGCTGACACACCACGAGCTTCCCCCCCAGCCTCTGGTCCCACTGGTGGAAGAGGACGGGAGGATTTGTTTGTGCAGGTCCTGATCCCAGTGAAATGGAGAAAATGTAAGTCAGACTAAAGTGCCAAAACCAAACACAGCAGAGGAGCCTTCCAGAGGCTTCCAGGGAGCATCCAGAGGTGCTTGCAGAGGAGCCTGGAAGCACACAGCAGCCTGGAGCCCCAGGAAGCACAGGGAAGAGCATTCTGTGGTTGGTGCCCTCACTCCAGAGCTCCGTGGCTCCATCCAGCCCGTGTGTGCCTGGGGCTGTGCTTCAGCCCTGAGCCACTGCCTCGGGTAAGTCCGTGGGCTATCTCACAGCAGCCAGGAAAGGTAACAGAGAGAAGCAGTTATCTTTAGTGTCTTTAATTCTCTTGACTTTTTTTAGAGGTCCAGAAATGGAAAACCAGTCGAAAAGCACTGCAGCTGTGTCCCAGAGCCTGTACCACGGTGATGGCACTGGGGATGTGGCCTCGGGCTCTTCAAAGCCTCTGCAGCTGCCTCTGGACCTGAACTGTTGTGACTTCATGTTGTCCAAGGTCTGTATAACTTCATCATTTTCTGATAGCCCGTGCATAACAAGAGCACTAGAAAGCTGTAGAGGTGGATGTTTCAAAGTTAAACTGATTCCCAGTCATGGTTTCCTTCCCCCAGAGCAGTTTTAGTTGTAAAGAAGATGATAGATTAAGTTATGTTTGACTGACAGATTTAAACTGGGGCTTCTTTCTGCAGCCTCCACATCCATGCTCTAAATTGGAGGCTTGGGATTAGAGCCACTAAATTACTTAGTTTATTGAAAAAATAAAATATCAGGAACAGATGAAGAGAGAGAAATGCAAATTGAGTGAGTGTTAAAAAATGATTAAGGTAAGGTAGTAAATGAAACAGAATGGCACTAAAACTGGGTGACACGTAAGAAATTCTCTCCAAGTGGCAGCACTGGGGAGCTGGGCTCTCAAAACGTGGAGCTGTGGAGCTCAAGACAAGTGAGCTTGACATTGCCAAGAGCTGCTCTCTGCACCCACCTGCCCAGTGCCCTCTGCCCCTGGGGGTGGGAGAGGGATGGAGAAAGGGCAGGTCACGGATGGAGCTGACCCTCTGAGGGTTTACAGGGGGGTTGTTACTGGCCCTGGTCCTGCCTGCAAGTGTGGAACTTCCCACAGCTCCCCCAAATCCAAGCAGAGGTGGATTTCTGTCTGCTGGCTTGGGATAATTTCTTGTAACCTCTCTGAGTCTTTGCACATTTACTGTCTCCTCTCAGTAATTACATACAAGACCATGGAGAGAGATCAAATCCTGCCATCTCCCTTGGATCCTGGGAATGGCCTCTTAAGGCACCCTCGAGCCTCGTTAAAGGAAACAAATCAAAGTGCTGCACCAGAGGATTGCAGGTAAAGCTGTGCTCCTGAGGACCTGCCTTTTCTAGATAGCCCCATGTATGGGGAGTGAAACATTTCCAGGAGATTCGATTCCATCTGGGGCCTGGGGAAATTCTGCAGCTCCACCAACAATCCATCACCACTCGCTCAGGGAGGAGCGATAAATCCATCATCATCTTCTTCTGGAGCAGCTGTGGGGATGGCAGGAGGAGCAGCAGTGCAGACTGCCTTCCCTGCACGTGGAGAAGAGCCAAAATCGGGCCAAGGGAGCAGCTTTCAGCCTCTCCTTCCCCTCCTGCCGTGCTGCTCCCCCAGCAGCTCTGCTCCCTGTGCCTGTGCAGCTGTGCTGGCTGGCAGCAATTACTGCTGGTTTCTTCACAGCCTTTGCTTTGGACTCATCATGATGGTGGCTGTTACACCCCTAGGGCAGCAGTGGGTGCCCACTCAGGTGCTGTTGGTATGTCCATGCTGTTGGCTGTCCATGCAGCCTGGCTCAGGGAATGTCACTGTTCTCAAAAACAAAATGCCTTCAGGGGCTTGTGCTCTCTCCCAGGGTGATGCTGCCCAGAGAGACAACCTCCTCCTTCCTCCTCCTGCTCCTCCTCCTCCTCTCTGCAGGGCTGACTCCTGGGATCACTCACACCCAGGAGGGACTGGATCTCTGCAAAGTGCCAGGTGGCATCCACGGGGAAGAGACAGATGTTGCTGGATGACAGGATGGAGATCCAGCCTCTGGACTTGGTTGTAAGTGGTTTAACGACATCACAGCACAAAGGGGAGAGTTTGGAAAAATGGTGTAAGAGAACATATTCTCTCACGTTAAATCAGCACTCTGGGTCCTGTTGCCATTGGCAGCCTGAGGGATATTTTGCAGAGGTGCTAAAACACATTGTAAATTAGGAAAACAAGAGAGAAACCAAACCAAAACACCATATTGTGTAAGACCACTTCTCTTGATACCAGAAAAGCTTTTCAGAACAAACCACCCCGTTCATGTTTACCTTTGTTTGGGGCTTTTTGTTTGAAGAAATTATTTCTGTTTTTCAATAAAAATTGATGTCCCCTTTGCAGCCTTGCCTCGCTGCCTGCAGAGGTCAGCAGTGCTGGAGTCCCTGAGGGATGTGGACAGCCCTGCTCCTTCCCAGGCCAGGAAAAGAAGAGAAACACTTCACGATCCTTAAACTTGTTAAATTTAAAACTTGAAAAGGCACCTTCATGCTTTCAATCATTTTTACTGCTTCTAATGCAACTGGTCTAAGCTTTCCTAGAAGACCCAGAGGGAAACCAGGGAAGATCAGATGTGACATTCTGGACTTGGCGTGTGAAAAGCAACTGGGGAAAAAGTAGAATAAAGTGAAGTACAGAGAGACTTGTGGCTGCACTTGATACGCCGAGAGGAGAATAAAGAGGCACAAAATCACGTGCAGGTCAGTTTTATACAAAGCATCAAGGAGGGGTGGGAGCGACTGCTCCCGAGCATGGTGAGCACTGGGGAGCAGCAGCTGGGAGGGATTTCAGAGCGTGGCCACCCAGGGAGCCCAGCGGGGACATCCGAGTGTCCTCAGCAGGAGTGAGAAACCTGAGCAGTGCCGGGGAGCAGCCCCGATCCCTGATCTCTGATCCCTGATCCCTGATCCCTGGATCCCTGGATCCCTGCTCAGCTGTTCCTGCCGTGGGAGCCCCCAGGCTGGAGCCTGGGTGTGTGGGAGCCGCAGGGTCCAGGGAAGGAAAAGGCCACCCAAATCCCAGACAGAGTGGTGACCCCCCTGCAGGTCCCTGGCCTCTGCTCTGCCTTTGATGGCCACCTCCTGCTGAGAGCTCCTTAATGGACAAGGGCTGAGGCAAATTGTAAAATTAAAAGAAACAGGGTGAGGATACAATTAAAAGCGGCGTCTCTGAACTGGAACTGCTTTGCCGTGAATTGAACGTGCCTAAACCTGGTCATGGTTGAGCAGAGCCATTCCACTCAGCTCTGGATTAACTCATCAGCAGAGTGCCCAGAATCTGATTTAATTTGAAAGACTACAAAATTATATTTCTCTGCTGATTTTCCAGGTGGCAGGATTAGACGCAGAGCTTTTAGTTTTCCGCTACTTCCTTTTAACCTAATTTGACAGAAATGGCTTTCGGTACAAGGCGGAATTTGCTGGGTGCTGCATCAGGGATAAAGGGAACATCGGAAAAACGGCACAGCGCAGTTGGGGGAGATTGTTTCCCTCTCTCTGGAACACGCTGGGTTTGATAAACTACAAAGGCTGAGTATTCTGGAAGAGCATAAACCAGGGAGACTCGCAGCTCTCGTGGAACGTTTGCCGCTCCACCGGAGCAGCCCCTCTTCCCAGGGAGAACGAGGAACACCAAGAGTTGTGGCAGGACTCGGCACACCAGGTGTGTGCTGGCCCTCGTGAGGACACAGGGAGGGATTTTGGCATGGCTGGCACAGGCACGGGCACGGCGGCTGCAGGGGAAGGAAGGGTGGTGGCCAGGGACAGTGTGGCCACAGGGCCGCCCTGCGGGAACGGGAGCTGCCCTTCCTCCCGGCTCTGCTGATTAAGGAGCTCCTTTTCTTGGCAGTTAGAGCTGGAATTAAAGTATTGCTGGGAGAGAGAGACCCAGGGGCAGGCGAACAGCTTGTTCCCAGCTGGCTCAGCACTTTCCTGTTTGCAATTCCACCTACCAGAGCTCAAAAAAGGCTCCCTGAAGGCGGCCGGGAGCCGGGCTGGCAGCCCCGACAGCCCCCAATACCTGGCATGCCCCAGTGCCCTGCAGCCCCTCAGCTGCACCAGCACTCAGGGGGCATCTCTGCTCCTCTGCTGGGAAGGCAGTGGGGCTCCTGGAACATATCCAGCCAGAGCAGTGTTGGAGCAGAGGTGGAGGCAGGAGAAGGGTGTGCCCAGGCTGGTTTGGAAGCTGTTTTTTGGCTGCTGATGTTGCTGGGTGCTTGTGGGGATCCTGGAGGCTTCCAGGGCTTTGTCCCCTCTTCTAAGGAAGGAAGGGGATTTTCAATCTGACCTCCAAACTGCAGGAGCTGGGGGAGGGTCTGCCCTGGAGGGGCACCAGCTGGATGGTTTAAAGGCCAAGCTACTTGACTGCTCTTGTTTTCCTTCTCTCATGTCCTGCACTCCTCTGACTGCTGGAGTGATGAGGCTCCTCTTTGCCCTGGTGGAAGGGACAGACCCTGGTTAATGACCTCCCTGCACGACTCCCACTGTTCTTCTCCTGGTCCTTTTGCTCCAGTGGAATGGTTTGCCTGGGAAATGGTCTGTGACAGGCAGTGTGCTTGTGAGAGGCAGGTTCCTAATGACTCCTCAAACTGAGATTTTATCCCTGTAAATGCAACTAGGTCCCAGTGTCCCTGATTAGCTTCTTGTGACGAATTCCATCTGCCTGCCTGGGAACAACAAGGAGCTAAAAAACCTGAGCACCAGCCATGCAGCCGGCTGCTCCCATGCTGGGCTTTGTCATCACAGGAAACCACTTAAAAACAGGAAACTCTTCCTTGTTCCACTCAATTTCTTGGGACAATTTGCCTGAAATGTCACCTTCACAGATGAAGGAATGGGACTTATCACAATCAAGGCTCTGACACGTCCCTTTAAGTGAATCGAGGATGTTTTTAATTCTGAATCTGCACAGGGTTTTGTTGGTGCAGTGTGAGTCCCTTGCATTTTATAACACTCACAAACATGCACGTTTTTGGGCAGTACTCGTGTGGTTTTGCTGCTCTGGGCAGTGTGGGCTGCCAAGGCCGATGGAGCACATTGATGGCACGTGGCTCATTGTTGGAATGCTCCAGGCATTCCTCAGGAATGCAGGGGGACAACCCTTGTGCTGGGCTATTGAGTGACTGGGCAGTTTCTTACATATTTTGAGGTATTTTGTGTATTGTGACTGTAACACAATACAC